TTTAATTTTGGATTTATGATTCACCGCATGTAAAACAGTCACTGTAGATTTGTCTCCCCTTATTCATTAATAGCTGTTATAGAGCGAAGGTACTTGTCTGGAGGTCGCCACTAATTAACATCACGTCATATGTGCCATTGGTTGTAGCCAGCAAGAAAGTATTGCTATGATCAGGACTGAAGTGTCTTCTTGCGTTGTGATTGGTCAAGGCCGTATAGGCTTAACGCTCGATTGTTTGAAATTGTCGAAAGTTGACGTTCGAAGACATACTTCAGTGAGTTCAGTATTACATAGACCAATAAATAATGCATAGATAGTAGCATTATCGAAACGCAATGTTTAGTTTATTGTTCTAATACTGCCGCTGAGGTATCAGGACCAGAAAGTCTTCCTTTTGTCATGTTCTGTAAATGACATGATCGTTCATGGTGGAGAATCCGGTTGAAGGCAGCAAAAATCATAACATACTTTCATCTGTTTAAAAAAAATAAATAAAAAAGAAGGTTGAAAGATTCTAACGATGTTGTTTTACATAAGTCTTGTAAGTTATAAGATAATGTTATATATTTAGTTAACGCATTGACACCTTTTTTTAAAGTTTGACCAATGCTGAAATGCCACAAATAACCCATCACGCGTATGCAGACCGCGTTATTATTAAAACCGTTGTTAGCAAATGTTGGCGTAAGTAGCATTTTTTTACAAGTAATTTTTCAGATCGTAATTGTCATTGTTTTTTTAAGTGACCTGGTTTGGTTTGATCGTGTTTTATTTTTATGATTTCAGGTTTTGCAACCATCCACTCGTTATGTCTAAACTGTTATTTTTCAAACCAGTATTATCCAAAACTTGGATAATTCTATAGCCTTAGAGTATAAAACAATACTTATAGCGCTGAAAAAAGAATAGAAGTTTCTCATTATAATCTTATTGAGAAAAGAACCCAAGCAAGGAGCTTGACTAATTGAAAATTACGAGTTTCAATAGTTTCGAGAAATGAGCTTTTGTGTGTCCAGAGATTAAAAGTTCAGTCTCATATGATAGTGCTAAAGAGAAAGTCAATTTTATGCTTAAATTAAAAGTACACGAGTGTTTCACATCACATTCATTAACTATTTATAATATTATTAATAATTCATGTTAATTCAATTCCTTTCTAAATATTTATAATGCTAGAGGTATTGGCAGATAGAAACTAAGGCACCAGTTACGTGGTATAAAGCTTTTCTTCACAAATTAAAAGTGTCAACATATTAACCCAAAATCTGATATAGTATATCACTATTACTTTACTCAGTGATGTTATTGACTTTGTCCTCGCAAATGTGCCGTGTGTATGTGTTTATCTAACGAATTTATAGGTTATAAGATAGGCGTACAAGAGATTGAACCTGGTGTGTGCTTTTGAAGAAACTGTTATAGTACACAGCTTGACCTGTATTTGTATGATTCATATGAAACAACTTACACTAATATGTTTTGTGTATATTCATAGTCAGTGTGGAGATTGGTAGTTACCATTTCCCTTTGTGCATGTTTGTATAAAAGTTTATTCATACTTTAGATATAAGAGGAACCATTCTTCTTCCAGATAATCTCTTTTCTGTTTCGTATAGAAACATACACGCGTATAATTTTATTCATATTCTCTTAGTCTCTATCAAGCATTTAGAAGTGTTGAAGCGTATTGTTTTTATTCACTCTGTGATAAGCCAGGCTGAGCCTAGTGGTTAGCTTGTCGGGCTGCTGATCGAAAGATACAAGGCTCATACCACGATATATCGCTGAACACCCTCTGCGTTTTCAGCTGTGGGGCGCTATAACTGACATTCAATCCTGCTAATCAGTTAAGAGTAACCGTGTATGTGGTCGGTTCTGCTGATTGATTACCCTTCCTCTGGTCAGCATTTAAAATTAGGGATGGTTATGCATGACCTTTGGGGTCTCTGACCTGGACGTTTACTCCATGTGTCGCATAAGGTTTTGTTCAGCTTGAAAATACCAAATTTTTTATGTTGATTCGAATATCATCGACTTAATGCAAACATGCTTAAAGTTATATTTCACTTTTCAATAAAGTATTTTATGTTCTACAATAATTAAAAACAAACAGGTCTTCTAGTCATTTTCTTGTTAGAAATATACCTTTATATACCATTTCATACATGTTTCATTGCCTTGTATCTCAGTTAAATATTGTTGAATTGGTCATACTCTTCGCCATGTGTTTTTTCATTGTCGTGGCCAATTTGTCTTTGTTATTAATGTTTTAATTATTAGTGTTATACATTATTTGTTGTTTTTATTAGTAATCTTTATATCTGCGATCCAAGCATCGAATGACCCCATTATGGTAGACCAGTTTAACTTAGTTTTAAGAGAAAACTATTTTACATATTAATAACAGAGCTAATGAGGAAATTGAGCAAGTGAACTTACACTTAGTTGCAGCTTGTCATGAATAAGCAAGGATAAACTTTGAAATATAAGCATCTTAATCCCAGTCATAGTTTAGAATTATGAATTAGTGCTTTTTTAAAATTACACTTAGGTACTAATTATGTAGTTTTTAACCTATGTTTCGGCTGCTAATGTGCTGCAGTATTCAGGGGGATCGCGAGAATTACTATTTCTTTTCAGTGGTCGAGATTCAATCCTTGGCCTTCTGGACGGAAGCCAGGTGCGTTATCCATTGAACTGGGGCAACCGAGTAGGATTAAAACTAGTTAGTACTTAGTATCTAATTATAATTGAGAAAAAAATACTAAATAATTGGACTGAAGTGATCGTGTAGGCTATTAATCATGACAACGATTGATATTCGATCGCCACAACATTACCGTAAGTACTCGTGTATTGGTGTTAAAATCAATTAAACACACCGTTTGCTTGTATACAGCGTAAAAACTTGTTATAAAAATTCTATGTTTTGGTGTGGCTGCCATATCATCTACAGAAGTGAGTTAAAGGACACACGGTTACTGTTTTTATACCTTTTTAGTAAGTCTTATGTCTATGTATATAATCAACATATTCATAATGGGGCACGACACATGTTAACATTATCTTTATTATAGTTTTTTATTACTTCTAGAAATTCTATAATGTTATAAGCAATTAAATTTTTTGGTTTGGATAATATTACAGTCTTATGCTGTAAAAAATATTATATTAAGTAATTGGTACATGTTTAGCTGAAGCAGAATTCACTGTATTGGTTCTTACGTGATATTATTCGTACCTGTATTTCGGATTTTTTAGTTTGACCTATATATATATTCACATTTAGTTTTATATATCCCACTTTTCTCATTGACTCTAACTTATCCTTAATACCAGCTAAAATCAGATATAATGTTTTCGTACATTCGAAAATGGAATAAGCTTATGTTGATTTTTAAAATTACTGAATATCTGACTACTTAATATAGGAATGTAACATAGCATCGATGTAGGCGTGAAACCAAGATTTTTAAGGTGGGATGGCTAGTATGTCCAGTCCACCAAATTCCCAAATAATGCATTATAGTTGATATGAAAATTGCATATTTATATCATAGACTAAAATACTTAGTTTTAAAATTTATTATAAAATACAATATAATATAACGTTTTTATTTTTGTCTTTTTTTAATTATTTTTTAGAATTTACCCCATTTTATTTATTTTATTTTATTATATAGCTTAGATACAAAACATATATCATGAGGAGTATGTTAATCTAGAATAACAGTTGTGTTTTATTAAACCAATTCTAAATATCTAGGATGATACTAAAAATAGTTACTCTCGGGGAGATTGTATTTTTGACAAGAAAACGATAGAATTCCTCTTCTTTTGAATACAGTTATTATAAAAAACAATTTCTTGAAATTAAAGCTCTAGGTGTAGCTATAGCAACATGCTAAACGTAAAGTTGTTACTTGTCATTATTACTCATTACACGCGGTGGTTAGATTTGTGCGCCAAAGAGCACTCACAGCTGAGAAACTGAAACAAAGCTGTAACTGTCTTCCTTGTATATTATAATGTTTACTGAGCGAATAATAAAATAAATGTATCTATCATTATTTTAAACTAGTTCACATTAGAGATGAGTATTCAGCTATCTAAATATGACATTTCCTATTATATAGTTATGCACAAACTTTAAAAGTTTATAGCTTAGGAGAGGTTTTGAACCCCAAGCACCCCCCCCCGTTTCCCGCATGGATAGCGTTAACATATCTTTTTATCTTTATTACATGAAGATTTTAATATAATATTTTCTACTCTCTTCAAACTATTCTTAAATTTATGTAATGCTCTTTCAATATTGAGGTTTAATTCCCCTTTTGACAGCCATATTCAGGGAGTAGATCCAGGTTTTTTTTTCAGAGGGTGAGGATTTAACCTGTTAAAAAAATGCACTTGCTTTATTAGATCTAAAGAAACCTTTGTGTGATAGTTTATCAGGAAATGACACCCCCCTCAATATTTATTACATATTCATAACACCCAATAAACATAACGATAAAATGCTACTATTATTTGTGATTTCGTATGACAAAATTCTTGGTGTGGCGGCATGTACTTACTGACAAATGTTTTACGGTAATCCGATAAACTAATACATTTCTATGTTAACACTCCCATCTTTATGAAGAAATGCATCTAAAAATGGCAAACATTTGTTTTCTTCTATTTTGTGTGTAAATTGTATTGAAGACTGTAGGTTATTTGAATAGTATAAATTCTTTTAACACTACTTCCATGTCTCAACACCAAAAATATATCATAAACATATCTAAACCATCTTTTAAGCTTAGATGGTGTAAATTATATTATTCTTTTGACTGATTATTAGATGATATTCATCTACAATTTCACATACATTATTTGGTTTAACTAGTGGAATATGCAGTTACCGATTAGATTATATCAGTTTTAAGGAATATGCAGTTACCGATTAGATTATATCAGATATCAGTTTTAAAAAAATATTTTTTTCTTGTAATTAGCACTTCTTTCTGTTTGGTGTGAAGACCTTGGCCGATTGTTACTTCTGCGTCACCAGAAGACAAGAGAAGGGGACGGATTACCTAAACTCACCCCTGGAATGCATCAGTCTTTGCAGAAGACCCTTCCTCCGGTTCAGGGGTAGGTCTTTGTGTGTGTTTTTGTGTAAGTTGCAACTTCCACAGATTATTTTTGCAGATATAATGTCGAAAATTTGAATTGCATCACATTTTATTTTTTAACTATTCGCCCATTTATTACTGTATATTAACGAAAGCGTTTAAGATCGATATAAAAACACGAACAATTTAGTTTTTACTGACAGCAGCCATTAACCGTAGCATTTTATTTCAGTTTTACCCATGTATTATAATTTTTAGTAGGTAATTTGGTAGAGAATAAAAAGTTAGAAAATGCATGTAGTATGTATTTCAAATCACATTTCATATTTACTACAGTAATATAGAAAAACGTCACCTAGTGGCCCTAAGCTATTTGTATTTGAAAATATTGCAGTTCTATAGCAAGACTGGTAATATCGGAAGATAACTACTGAGGCATATTTGTATTGGTATATACAGGGTCTCTACCTTATAGGTGTCCATTGTTATGACCATAACACTCGCTATATCTCAACCTGTATGATTTCTTTCGATTGAGACCTCTTAAAACCTGTGCTTATTGCAATAATCCATGCACATTTAATTACCTGAAGGAAAGGACTACTACTTTAATCGCTGGACTAACTTCGGAAACCTTCAGCGTAGTTAAGGATAACTCCAATGAGGCTACAACTTGTTTACAACATGATGGATTCCATATCAAACATAACATGCATACAAACTTCAGAACAGGTGAAATTTTTTACCGTATTGGTCGGTATAAAAAAATACTTGTACCTTTTCGCAAAGTTTGTTGTACGTTTCACAGGCAGTTCTGTATGAATGAGCCACAAAAGTAGGCTTAGCTCACTATATTTGTTAATGTTACACGTATTAATTGTCTTATTATCTTTGTGGTTTATCACTACTGAAATATATGTTTATTTTTTTATCGTTTATTTTGAATTACAATGAAGATAAAATTGCATTGAAAATCTTAAAAAATAGACCATTTCAAGTAAGAAAAAGGACAACTTAAACAAGTATTGTCGTTAGTAATTGTTCTGTTAAGACTGGACTTGCATTCCGCAAGGTGTCTACTTTCTTGATAAAGCCACAAGGTGAAAGGTTGAGGAAATAAAGAATTTACACTGGAAATTGGCTGTTTCTCGTAATCATTAATGAGTAATTACAAGTTAAAAACAAAAAAAAAAGTTTTCTGTAATATGTGAAGTCCTTTACAAATTCCTTCATATTGACTGTGTGTTAAACTGGTGGAAATTTGGCTGATAGTTCTTCTAAAAGACTTTTTTCTTCTGAATTTCAAGATGTGACTGGCCCAAAAGTTTTGTTTGGTGTTGAAAATAACATCCTTTATAAATCAACACCCTCAACCTGACAAACTTGTTTACAAAAGTTGTCTTGGGTCAGGCCACAGTGTTTCCTTCTTACTTCTAGTTGATTAACCATGCACTAGTTAGGAAATCATTCGTAAACGTGGGCTTAAAAGATTCTTGTAACCTATTTTACAGTGGTGTTGTCACTTATAGTTGGCGTGTCATTAAGCCTTCACTTTTTCTCGAGTGTCCCAGAAACAAAAACGCATGCAGAATTCCTCAGTTCACTTTCGTTGTCATATCAATAATGTAATTACATTTGTTGAAAAAGTGTCTAATCACCATGAAACCTGTGTGAACATAAATTTTAGTAAACTGAATTTGTTTTACCAGTTTAAAAAAGTAACTAATTTTTAGTTTTCTTTTATATCACTTGTAGATATGAATAACTTTAATGTCTTGGGCTAACCACATGAACAACATTTTGGTAATTAGCAAAACACACACGTATGGAATTATATTTTGTTGTGCTCGTCATTCGACCATAAGCTATTTATCCTGTATTAGTAATAACTTTTTTTTTATTAAGACAGTTATTTGTGTCTTACTCTCTCTCATAAAATATAGTTTGTTTATTGAATGCCTGTTGCATGTGTATAATACTGGTTGGAAACTGCTTGAATTTGAATACTGGTAGAAGTTTCACATAGCATAGGGATAATAATGTGGGATTTTAATTGTCGCGTCCCTTTTAAATAATTTATTTGTCTGGCATGTTTTAAATAGCTATACAGGAAAGAGAGAGGGGTACCCTTACATAAAATTTTTAATTAAAACGACATCTTGGCAAGCGTATGCCTTCAGTTTCACTAAACTAATGAATATAAAATTTAATTTGATTTGAAATACAGCATAAGGTAATTCTAAACCATTGTGTTGTGCCTGAATATCAGCAGCCCTGTTAAAGTTTAAGCTCGTGTTTGAGCGATACTTATGAACAGTTTGTTTGTTTGTTTGTTTTTGAATTTCGCGCAAAGCTACACGAGGGCTATCTGCACTAGCCGTCCCTAATTTAGCTGTGTAAGACTAGAGGGAAGGCACCTAGTCATCACCACCCACCGCCAACTCTTGGGCTAATCTTTTACCAACTAATAGTGGGATTGACCGTCACATTATAACGCTCCCACGGGTTGTTTGGTGGGACGGGGATTCGAACCTGCGACCCGCAGATTGCGAGTCGAGAACCGTAACCACCTGGCCATGCCGGGCCCTTATCAACCGAGATATCATTTGAATTTAGTTACCGCCACATTCCAAAATGTGATTTTTAGCATAATCGTTTGTTATATATATATAACATGAGATCTCTGGCATACCTTTTAATTTTAAATAATAAATGAGTGTAAGAGAGAGACTATTTTCTTTCAATATGTGATTGCTGACGTATCGGCCTACTGGTTGCCATTTGAGTGCTTCACAGAGTATTTGTCAAATATTTGGCTATAACTATCCAAGGATATTTTAGGTGTTTCACAGGAAATATGAGATACATAGTATTTTTCCGACTGATTTTTGAGATCTTTTGAAAAAGGCATGTAGATAAACGCACAGATGATCTTAAATCAGAATTATGGGTGATCCCACTAGTGGAATTTCTGTTTAGGAAAGAACATAAATAATTTTAGGTAGAAAATATTAAAGCAACATTTTCGGGAGGCAGTTCGTTTAGGCGACTGTAGTCACGATACAGGTACCAAGATGAATTACCTAACAAGATTTTTTCGAACACATCTCGAACTGTTGGATTTTTGAAAACTCAGAGACATGACGAAGTAACATACAAGCCCAGGATATAAGGAAGTTGCCCGTGAGAGGACCAGAAGCTTGCAGGCCTGACCCCATTTGTACGTACTTAAATTATAACTCGGGTTATAAATATAGCCCCATCTATTGCGAAGTAAACTAGTTAATTATGCCAGTAATTAGACTAGATCAAGGATTCTCACACTGTGGTACGCGTACCACTGTTGGTACGTGTAGTTAATATCGGTGGTACACGACACAATTAACATAAAAAATTATAAAATTTGTAATAAGCCCTATCTGAGCCTTCTATGTACATATACATATTGCTACCCTCGCATAAAGTTTCACCCTCTACTTGCATAGATTCGCCATTATTTTCTTCCCTTAAAATTGACAAAAATGGTACCACATATTTTTCAATCGTGCCAGAAAAAAAAACAATCGCAACCTTCGCATTAATGGGTAAGTGTTAAAAATATAAATTTTTGTTACTAGGTTTTATCTTTTTTTAGATTAGGCCTGGGTTTGTAATTTAAAAAAAATAAAAAAATAACAAAAAGTGGTTCGCGAGCCTGAAACGTTTGAGAACCACTGGACTAGACGATATACTGCCGTACAGTGGTTGAAGTAAATCTTAAATTAACGAACAACTGGTCGTGATTTTGTTTCAAGAGTATTTTAGGCAGTTGTAGGTATAGTATAGTTTGGGCTTTAATGGACTGCTCCAGCCTGTTTCTAGTCGAGTGAGACGATGTTTCAGCTTCTACACTCAGGTCGAAAATTTGTTTCTTAAACAAAACTCCAAAGAAGTTTAACGTTTAAAAATATTACATTTATTTGAAACATTTAGATGGTTAAGAAAATATTGTTAGTATTTTTTATGAGGGTAAACATTGTTTGTTTTCTCGGTGTTAGCGATGAAAATGTGCGCGAGTATACTTGAACACAGAATTATGAAACCCTAATTATCAACTTTTAAAATACGCTTATTTAAAAAAAATATTGCGAAACAGGTAGATAGTTCTCTGGAGTATCTTGTAGCTCAAGTGCAAAAATAAAATTTTCCTATAGAGGGCGCTGTTATTAAGTCATAGCTTTAGGTGGAAGGCATTTTCCAGACTTTCTTGGCAGTCAGAACTATAGATGACTGATTAATAAATACTACTTGCTATCTTAAATACTTAATAAATACGTGCCATTGTTTATAACCCATGGACTTTAGAATTTTAAGGCTCTTTAATCTTGCGGGTTACTGTGAAACTACAATACAAAAAAAAAAATGTAGGTTCTTGTGAAACTAAGCACATAGAGTAAACGTAGAAAAACTCGTCAAAATTTGCATATGAATTATGCATATAGGTGATCACTCATTATTAAGACTTGTATACTAATTATATTAACATGGCCTTCATGCTTAACACGCTTATTTCAGTACTTGCTGTCAGGTGTTTTTGAGGAATGTGCAGTTTCTTTGTAAAAGTTTGTACACGACAGTTACTTGTAACAAGTGAACGAAGCATTTCAACAGGCTTTAGACCTCTAACAACAGGGTACATTTTATTTTGTATTTTGTCACTACCTATATACGTTAAAAAATCAGGACAGAAACCCCTACTTAAGGCGATTCAAGCGTAACGTAGCACTGAAGCATAACCTACCCATTCCCACTTTTCACCATGAATCATTTCAATTTAGAGGTTTAGTTGACTAATAAAAGAGAGCTCACAAGCACGTGGCAGGTAAAATAGACAACACACAACTTACCATAACGTAAATTAAACGTTTGTGTGTGTCGTATTTTGCAACAAAGTGGTTTGCTGGTTTGATATTTATTATATTACTATTAGATAATAGTGCTTACTGGGGGGTTCTAATGATTTGACAAGCTACGAGGTAC